CTTTCATTTCGGTCACATGGTCGGGAGCTCATCCTACCAGCTCCTGATCATAAACAGTGCCCGGGAGCCGTCGGTGACATCTCAGTCACAGTGCTGGGGGTGCGCAATTGAGCACGTTCCTAGAACAAAATCAGCGGGAAAAATCATGTGATCACTTAGCTTGGCTTTCACAGCGGTCACGTGACCGGGAGCGCTACCTACCAGCTCTGAATCATAAACAGTGACTGGGAGTTGTCAGTGACAGTCACTGAGCTGGGGGCGCGCTCCGAGCAAAGAACAGTGACAACAGCTTGTACACTGGAGGCGTGGGTTCGAATCCCACCGCTGCCACCACAAGATGGATGGGCTACTCTGTGATAACCCCCGGGGGGTCAAATCTGCCGCTGACTTTATACTTCTCTTCTGCTGAATGGGTACCGTCTGGAGCTCGGGATATGAGACACAATGGTGTGTGTGGTATCAGCCCAGTATCAAAGGATTGTTTTCCGCGTTAGTGAATTATATCAGGTAAACAAGGGGCAGTGGTCCGGCATTAACCAGTCACAGATAAACACTGACGCCTACAACGGTGGCAGCAGATTAAAGCCCATATACAGCTGGTGGCAGCAGATTAAAGCCTGGGTACAGCCGGTGGCAGCAGATTAAAGCCTGGGTACAGCTGGTGGCAGCCGATTAAAGCCCAGGTACAGCCGGTGGCAGCAGATTAAAGCCTGGGTACAGCTGGTGGCAGCAGATTTAAACCCACATACAGCTGGTGGCAGCAGATTAAAGCCCATATACAGCTGGTGGCAGCAGATTAAAGCTTGGGTAAAGCTGGTGGCAGCAGATTAAAGCCTGGGTACAGCTGGTGGCAGCAGATTAAAGCCTGGGTACAGCTGGTGGCAGCAGATTAAAGCCCAAATACAGCTGGTGGCAGCAGATTTAAACCCACATACAGCTGGTGGCAGCAGATTAAAGCCCACATACAGCTGGTGGCAGCAGATTAAAGCCTGGGTACAGCCGGTGGCAGCAGATTAAAGCCTGGGTACAGCTGGTGGCAGCAGATTAAAGCCCAGGTACAGCTGGTGGCAGCAGATTAAAGCCCACATACAGCTGGTGGCAGCAGATTAAAGCCTGGGTACAGCTGGTGGCAGCAGATTAAAGCCCAGGTACAGCTGGTGGCAGCAGATTAAAGCCCACATACAGCTGGTGGCAGCAGATTAAAGCCTGGGTACAGCCGGTGGCAGCAGATTAAAGCCTGGGTACAGCTGGTGGCAGCAGATTAAAGCCCACATACAGCTGGTGGCAGCAGATTAAAGCCCAGGTACAGCTGGTGGCAGCAGATTAAAGCCCAGGTACAGCTGGTGGCAGCAGATTAAAGCCCACATACAGCTGGTGGCAGCAGATTAAAGCCTGGGTACAGCCGGTGGCAGCAGATTAAAGCCTGGGTACAGCTGGTGGCAGCAGATTAAAGCCCACATACAGCTGGTGGCAGCAGATTAAAGCCCAGGTACAGCTGGTGGCAGCAGATTAAAGCCCAGGTACAGCCGGTGGCAGCAGATTAAAGCCCGGGTACAGCCGGTGGCAACAGATTACAGTAAACATATTACATTTCAATAACTCAAATGTGTAATCCTCTGGAAAAAGAAGTTAGGGGTTTCCTTTCCTACATTTGATAATGTTTTCTTTTTTAACAAGTAAATTTCACACAGACCCTGGAGACAATCCGGGGACTCGGTATAAATAGTTGCTGGAAGAAAACCACACGTATCCCCCGAAGTGGAGGAGAGAGGTTTTTGTTTTTTTTTCCGATGTGCTGGCAAATTGTTTAATTTTTCCCCATCATTGTGCTTAATTATATCTACGAGAAAAATGAGACTGCAGGGGCCGAGAAACCCCCCAGATATTTGGCATAACGTGCCTGCGAGATAATTGAAAGTTCTCTGAAAGAATTTCAGATTTTATGGGGAGCGACGGAAGCTGCTTTTATTATTGAAACTTAATCCAGCAAATTCCCATTAACTTTTCTTTTTTTTATTATTATTATTATTAATATCCACAATCGACGTTTGAGAGAGAGAGTTCATTAGCAATGACGGCGGTTTGTGTTTTGTCCTGGAGGCTTTGGGTGTCTTATAAAAAACTTAATGGAGAACTATGTTCTACTGAGCCGACCTGTGACAGTCTCATTGTCACAGGTCGGCTAGAACTATGAGGTGAGTGAAAAGCACCCCCCTCATAGTTCTCCTTTAAAGAATAAAGTTTTATTTGTTTTCATGGAAATAGATGTAGGCAGCATAGCGATCGTGAAGCTGGGCCGCCAACTCCTCCATATGTTGGAGGTGGGGTCATTCGGAGACCCATTCTTTAATGGTTGGGGGGATATGTAGTTTTTCCAGTGTTTTGGAAATAATGCCCCTGGCAGCTAAGATGAGAAGATACTTCTTTGGCCAAGGAGATGAAGCAAGAAAAGAAGGTCAATTTCTGAAGACATTGAGATGTCCGAGCACATCGTGGTGAACACTTTTGATCTAAAAAAGGTTTCACTAGAGGACAAGACCACCATATATATGTAGCATAGTCCCAGGCGTTCTCTGATTGGATGAGGTGGAGATTGTGAGGTCATCCACCCATCTTACAAGTCTCTCATAACACTCCTAACTGATGTGCCCCTTGCAATATACACTATCTTACCAGAAGTATTGGGACGCCTTCACACGCACATGAACTTTAATGGCCCCCCAGTCTTAGTCCGTAGGGTTCAGTATTGGGTTGGCTCCGCCCTTTGCCTCTATAACAGCTCCACCTCTTCTGGGAAGGCGTCCACAAGGTTTAGGGGCGTGTCTATGGGAATGTTGGACCATTTGTGAGGTCAGGTACTGATGTTGGGGGAGGGGCTCGCAGTCTCCGCTCTAATTCATCCCAAAGGTGTTCTATGGGGTTGAGGTCAGGACTCTGTGCGGCCAGTCACGTTCCTCCACCCCAAACTCCCCCATCCATGTCTTTATGGACCTTGCTTTGTGCACTGGTGCGCAGTCATGTTGGAACAGGAAGGGGCCGTCCCCAAACTCCTCCCACAAAGTTGGGAGCATGAAATTGTCCAAAATGTCTTGGTGTGCTGATGTCTTAAGAGTTCCCTTCACTGGAACTAAGGGGCCAAGCCCAACCCCTGAAAAACAACCCCACACCATAATCCCCCCTCCACCAAACTTTACACTTGGCACAATGCAGTCAGGCAAGTACCGTTCTCCTGGCAACCGCCAAACCCAGACACGCCCATCGGATCGCCAGACAGAGAAGCGTGATTGGTTAGTCCAGAGAACACGCCTCCACTTCTCTAGAGTCCAGTGGCGGCGTGCTTTACACCACGGCATCCCACGCTTTGCATTGCACTTGGTGATGTGCGGCTTGGATGCGGCTGCTCGGCCATGGAAACCCATTCCATGAAGCTCTCTACGCACTGTTGTTGTGCCAATCTGAAGGCCACATGGAGTTTGGAGGTCTGTAGCTATTGCCTCTGCAGACAGTTGGCGACTTCTGCGCACTGTGCGCTTCAGCATGCGCCGACCCCGCTCAGTCATGGGACGGGGGCTACCACTTCCTGGCTGAGTTGCTGTTGTTCCCAGTTGCTTCCACTTTGTTATAATCCCAGTAACAGGTGACCGCGGCGGAATATTTAGCAGCCGGGAAATGTCACGGAACACCTGAATCCAATGATTTGGAGGGGGAGGGGCCCAATACTTTTGGTAATATAGTGTATTATGGGTGCTCCAGTGACAAGCAGATGGCCCCGCATTCATGCAGAGAAAGACGTAAGCCACCAGCGCACCAATGATCCTTAATCATACGTCTATGGACGCTAGAAGGACATGATCATTCCAAAAGGTCCATCAGAAAGGGAGGTGACATTTCGGGGGAGCACAGGGTCCCCTCATCACACTGTTTTGTGTTATTAAGGGATCCGAAACGTCACTTCCTTTTGTGATATCATGTCCTACTAGCTTGTGTATGGTTAAGGATCATTGGCGTGCTGGAGATTTACGTCTTTCTCCTCCCATCAGATCCACCCTTTCGCTCCACCTCATCCAATCAGAGAACGCCTTGTATTTGTTGAAGAAATAAAATGGGGCCCTCTGAACGGTGGCCTGGAAACATTGCATCCATCACAAAAGGAGGCAACGTTTCAGGGCTGCACAGGGTCCATTCATCTCACTGTTTCGCCTGATGAAGGCACCCGGTGCGGCCCCAAAATGTTGCATCCTTTTGTGATATCATGTCCTTCTAGCATCAATAAAGATGCATGACGTATGATGGCGGTGCCGAGTGAGGTTCTTTCTGTGGGAAAGATGCTGGAGCTGCAGCCGGCTGTCACTGTATGCCGTACAGACTACTGCAGTGTTTTTCAGGATCCCTGGTGGACCTCCAGATATATTGTGACATATTCAGAATGTATTCACGCAGACTTGGACAGGTCCACTTTAAAAAAATGTGTTCTAAAATGAGCTATAATTTGGCGCTGAAGTTGCTGGAGGGCCGGACCATTATAAATAGGGAAGCGGGTTGGTTACCACGACAGTAGAAGTGATTTGTTTCTGAAGATTCGCGGAAGCAACGCGATGTAACAGCCTTTGAACGCGGGATGATTGTTGGCGCTCGGAGCCACGGAGCGAGTATCAGCAAAACAGCAGAATTCGTTACATGTTCAGGAGCGGCTCATTGTTAAAGTGTTTAAAGACCGGACTGTCAGCCGAAAATCTGGGTCTGAGCGTGCGAATTGTGGCCGTCAGCGACTAGTCAATGTTAGGGCAGAACGGGGGAGGGGCAAGACTGGTACAAGACAACAGAAGGGCAACAGCGCCGTGTCAGATTCCTCACATCACCTTTCACCATCTCGTGGAGTCACCAGGCGGCCCAACCAAGTACTGATGGGGGCGGGGCATAATAATCTGGCCACTTAGTGTATATATGAAACATTAGGCATATTTAGCAGTGATTGATAGAAGTTTTCTGATCTTTTCCAGGATTACGTGCTGCCACCTGCCTTTCCAGAGTAAATGGCTCTATGTGGGGACAGAGAGAGGAAACACACACATTGTAAATATCGAATCCTTCGTTTTGTCTGGATACATTGTCATGTGGAACAAGGCAATAGAGCTGTGAGTATAACTACACACTAATATCAGTCATTGTTGTGTGACACAGTTCCGTCAATGTTCTAGGAGCCCAAGTGTCAGTGTGTCATTGTTCTGGGACCCCCAAATGTCAGTGTGTCTTTTTTCGGGAACCCCTAAGTGTCAGTGTGTCATTGTTTTGGGATTCCAAGTGTCATTGTTCCGGGACCCCCAAGTGTCAGTGTGTTATTGTTCCAGCTTTTCCAAGTGCCTGTGTGTCATTGTTTTGGGTCCCACAACTTCCTGTGTGTCATTGTTTTGGGTCCCCCAAGTGTCAGTGTGTCATTGTTTTGGGTCCCCCAAGTGTCAGTGTGTCATTGTTTTGGGTCCCCCCAAGTGTCAGTGTACCATTGCTTTGCACCCTAAAGCATCAGTGTGCCATTGTTTTGGTCCCCCAAGTGCCCGTGTGCCATTGTTTTATTCCCCCAAGTGCCCGTGTGCCATTGTTTTATTCCCCCAAGTGCCCGTGTGCCATTGTTTTGGGTCCCCCAAGTGGCCGTGTGCCATTGTTTTGTGTCCCCCAAGTGGCCGTGTGCCATTGTTTTGGTCCCCCGCGTGCCATTGTTTTGGTCCCCCAAGTGCCCGTGTGCCATTGTTTTGGGTCCCCCAAGTGCCCATGTGCCAATGTTTTGGGTCCCCCAAGTGCCCGTGTGCCATTGTTTTGTTCCGTCAAGTGCCCGTGTTCCATTGTTGTATTCCCCCAAGTGCCCGTGTGCCATTGTTGTATTCCCCCAAGTGCCCGTGTGCCATTGTTGTATTCCCCCAAGTGCCCGTGTGCCATTGTTTTGGTCCCCCAAGTGCCCGTGTGCCATTGTTTTGTTCCGTCAAGTGCCCGTGTGCCATTGTTGTATTCCCCCAAGTGCCCGTGTGCCATTGTTGTATTCCCCCAAGTGCCCGTGTGCCATTGTTGTATTCCCCCAAGTGCCCGTGTGCCATTGTTTTGGTCCCCCAAGTTCCTGTGTGCCATTGTTTTGCTCCCCCAAGTGCCTGTGTGTCACTGTTTTGGGTCCCCCAAGTGTCAGTGTGTCATTGTTCTGGCTTCTCCAAGTGCCATTGTGATATTCTTCTCAGGTGTTCGTCTGTCATTGCCCTGGGTCCCCCGTATAGTCAGTGGGCCCTTGTTCTGGAACCTTTTAGTGTTGGAGGGGCCACGGTGTCGTGCATCATAATAAAGATAAGCCGCAACTCTTTCACATCAATGTCACCCATGCTGTCATCCATAGTTACATCGTTGCTGGCTCGACTAAAGACACGTGTCCGCCGAGTGCAGACAAGAACATTTGTGTCCAGCATTCAGTCAGTGTAGCGCGGGGAAGAAATGTCGCTCAGTTTATAATGTCCCCATGTTTATTATAAGGTATAGTGCGGGTCTGGTAATGACTGTGATGAACAGAGTGTGATTTGTGATCTTTCTCTCTCCATCTGATCTAACCCCGCACCCCTCCCCCCCATCATAAGGGGGCTGTATAAATTGTGCAGATGAAATGCCGCAGCCTTTACCGAGCTGCTTTTATGTTGTGGCATTTAGGAAATGAATACAAATCTAGCAGGTTTGCAATTATTAAAGTGATACATTTTCTTCTCTAATCGGAGAAGACATAAATCACCGGCTTCAGCGGTGACCTTTCCACATATCCCCAGATTGCCGGCCTTCCTGCTCCCTCCTGCTTCTCTCTGCCTTATCTCCAAGTCACCTCTACCACTACCAGGATTCCTCATACATCCCATTGGAACATTCCTACCTGTCAAAAATGGAACTTCATCTTTGAACTATTTAAATTGCCCATCAAAACAATGGCATGCAAATCCCAAGAGCCGGGTTGCCTTTTCATGTTAGTTTGTGCTTAGCGTTCTGAGCCTCTTTAGTTTATTTGATGGAAGCTTGTAGATTAGTGCCTCAGAAGTGCCTTGTGACAATTACAATTGGCTAATTGGCTCTTAAAGGCTAATGAAATGGAAATCCGCAGGCATCTCCTGCTGTCATCTACCTCACACCCCAGGCCCCTTTGTTTAAATTGTAAAATATTTACAGGGATACATACATAATACAGACATACCTAATGACTTGTAAGTGACATTCTTTGCTCAGGTTCTGTGAGTCCATGCCAACGTGATGATGCACCCCCAGAGGGAAGGTCCATGAGAACCTGGCTCACAGGAAGAGGGGCAAAAGATGCTATCATCATTCAACTTATAATAGGAGGACTATCTAGGGCAGTGGTTCTTAACTTGTCTAACCTCAGGACCCACATTTGTCCTTGAACATGTTTACATTTATGAGCCTTGTCTCGTAGCTCTGGTCCTCCATTCCCCTAATTAGTTTAGTTGCCCTCCGCTGGCCCCTCTCCAGATCAAGGACATCTTTTCTTAATACTGGTGACCAAAACTGGACCGTGTACTCCAGATGAGGCTGAACCAATGCTCTATAAAGTGGCAAAATTATAGACTTGTCTCTGTAGTACATCCCCTTCTTAATACAGGACAAGACCCTACTTGCTTTGTTTACAGCAGCCTGGGACTGCAAACTACCCTTTAGTTTTAACTAGTTGTAAGAGCAGAGCCACCAGAACTAGTGTCCCCATTGGAAGAGCACGGTCACCAGAACTAGTGTCCCCATTGGAAGAGCACGGTCACCAGAACTAGTGTCCCCATTGTAAGAGCAGAGCCACCAGAACTAGTGTCCCCATTGGAAGAGCACGGTCACCAGAACTAGTGTCCCTATTGGAAGGGCAGGGTCACCAGAACTAGTGTCCCTATTGGAAGAGCAGAGCCACCAGAACTAGTGTCCCCATTGGAAGAGCAGAGTCACCAGAACTAGTGTCCCCATTGGAAGAGCAGGGTCACCAGAACTATTGTCCCTATTGGAAGAGCAGGGTCACCAGCACTAGTGTCCCTATTGGAAGAGCAGGGTCACCAGAACTAGTGTCCCCATTGTAAGATGTGATATTCTTCTCAGGTGTTCGTCTGTCATTGCCCTGGGTCCCCCGTATAGTCAGTGGGCCCTTGTTCTGGAACCTTTTAGTGTTGGAGGGGCCACGGTGTCGTGCATCATAATAAAGATAAGCCGCAACTCTTTCACATCAATGTCACCCATGCTGTCATCCATAGTTACATCGTTGCTGGCTCGACTAAAGACACGTGTCCGCCGAGTGCAGACAAGAACATTTGTGTCCAGCATTCAGTCAGTGTAGCGCGGGGAAGAAATGTCGCTCAGTTTATAATGTCCCCATGTTTATTATAAGGTATAGTGCGGGTCTGGTAATGACTGTGATGAACAGAGTGTGATTTGTGATCTTTCTCTCTCCATCTGATCTAACCCCGCACCCCTCCCCCCCATCATAAGGGGGCTGTATAAATTGTGCAGATGAAATGCCGCAGCCTTTACCGAGCTGCTTTTATGTTGTGGCATTTAGGAAATGAATACAAATCTAGCAGGTTTGCAATTATTAAAGTGATACATTTTCTTCTCTAATCGGAGAAGACATAAATCACCGGCTTCAGCGGTGACCTTTCCACATATCCCCAGATTGCCGGCCTTCCTGCTCCCTCCTGCTTCTCTCTGCCTTATCTCCAAGTCACCTCTACCACTACCAGGATTCCTCATACATCCCATTGGAACATTCCTACCTGTCAAAAATGGAACTTCATCTTTGAACTATTTAAATTGCCCATCAAAACAATGGCATGCAAATCCCAAGAGCCGGGTTGCCTTTTCATGTTAGTTTGTGCTTAGCGTTCTGAGCCTCTTTAGTTTATTTGATGGAAGCTTGTAGATTAGTGCCTCAGAAGTGCCTTGTGACAATTACAATTGGCTAATTGGCTCTTAAAGGCTAATGAAATGGAAATCCGCAGGCATCTCCTGCTGTCATCTACCTCACACCCCAGGCCCCTTTGTTTAAATTGTAAAATATTTACAGGGATACATACATAATACAGACATACCTAATGACTTGTAAGTGACATTCTTTGCTCAGGTTCTGTGAGTCCATGCCAACGTGATGATGCACCCCCAGAGGGAAGGTCCATGAGAACCTGGCTCACAGGAAGAGGGGCAAAAGATGCTATCATCATTCAACTTATAATAGGAGGACTATCTAGGGCAGTGGTTCTTAACTTGTCTAACCTCAGGACCCACATTTGTCCTTGAACATGTTTACATTTATGAGCCTTGTCTCGTAGCTCTGGTCCTCCATTCCCCTAATTAGTTTAGTTGCCCTCCGCTGGCCCCTCTCCAGATCAAGGACATCTTTTCTTAATACTGGTGACCAAAACTGGACCGTGTACTCCAGATGAGGCTGAACCAATGCTCTATAAAGTGGCAAAATTATAGACTTGTCTCTGTAGTACATCCCCTTCTTAATACAGGACAAGACCCTACTTGCTTTGTTTACAGCAGCCTGGGACTGCAAACTACCCTTTAGTTTTAACTAGTTGTAAGAGCAGAGCCACCAGACCTAGTGTCCCCATTGGAAGAGCAAGGTCACCAGAACTAGTGTCCCCATTGGAAGAGCACGGTCACCAGAACTAGTGTCCCCATTGTAAGAGCA